TCATCATTCTTCGATGTCTTTTATCATTTATTTCTAAACCACTGGTTCAACTCAGCACATAGATTTCACATAACAAGAGTCTCAACCAAGTTTAATCAAATGGGACTTCTGCTGCATCTTGTTCAGCGATCGCCAGGTTGTATAGGTCATGTAGAGGGTTGTCTCTTCTCTACATCTTTTCCTAAGACTGCCGATAAACATAGCCCGAGTGACATTTTCTGGTGGATGACTGTGGTCAGAAACATTCCTGACAATATCTCCAACTGTTGTGCATTTGCTCTTGCAGGTCCTAACAATGCATCGCCAGTGCTGACATGTCTGTCGTGTTGTATACTTGTTGTAGAGGAATCCATCAAAAAGAACGTGTGACCTGCCTCGCTGCGATGTGACATACTCTACTCTTTGTATACCGGCCATGGTTAATGTGCAAAGTTGTTATTGTTATTGTTGTTGTTATTTGCTTTATTTAACGTCGCACGTACAACTAAGGTATTTCGGCTACGGGGTAGTATAACTAATTAAGAAATGAGGGGGAACAAAAACTAGAAATTTTGAAAGTGTGGTGTAACTACCAAAAAGCAACAACCCCACCAAAAAAACCAAACAAACCCCAAAAAAACAAAACAACAACAAACAAAAACAACAACAAAAAACCAAAAAAATCACCCAAACAAACACAAAACAACAACAACTGAGTATTAAGGGAAATTTGAATGGGATGCCGAATTAAAAAGGTGAAAAATATGAAATAGGTAAAGAGTAATAGCGATTTGGAATTGAATATAGATGTAGTGTAATAAATGGTTATTGTTATTGTTTTTTGTTTGTTTTGTGAACCAACCCATTTTTAAAAACATATTTATTAGGTGAATAATGATAAACATATAAAATGTGCAAGGGTCATCCCCAGCCGTTTGTAGTAAAATATGTACTTTCTCAATATAATTGAGTTAACTCTACTAAATAGTTTATCCTGCCTTGAGAAGATGAAATCATCTCAAGATAAAAACAACTGAATGTACATATGAAATGCTAACTATTAAAACGTCTTTAATCAAACAAACATTTCTTGAGTAAAAAAACATCAAAACTGCTTGCTCTTAATCCCTTTGATCCCTTTGACCGTTTGGGCTAGTCCATTATTGTTGTAGGTATAGCAGTAATTAACCCCCAACCTGACTGTGTAACAGCTGGCAATATCCGGGTGTGTAACAACTGGCATGTGTAACAAATGGGAGACAACCCTCACAATTAGTTCACGGTTGGCGGGTTCATCGTTCCGGTCACGGTTGTCAAGTATATTCAGTCACGGTTGTCATATGTCTGGTCACGGTTGTCATGGCTGGTCACGGTTGTTATGTTCGGTCACGGTTTGTCTGTCATATGGTTCAGTCACGGTTGTTATGTCTGGTCACGGTTGTATATTCCGTCACGTTTGTCGCATGTTCGGTCACGGCTGTTATGTTCATCATTTATGTCATATTCAGTCACGAATTTATTATGTTCGGTCACGTTTATCATATTCAGTCACGGTTGTCGCGGTTCAATCACGGGTGTCACCGTTCAGTCACGGTTGTCATGTTCATTGCCGGTCACATTTTGGCATCATGTTCTGTCACGGTTGTCATGTTCAGTCCACGGTTGTTTATCATGTTCAGTCACGGTTATTTGTCATGTTAGAGTCCACAGTTATCATGTTCAGTCACCGGTTGTCATATTCGATTACGGTTGTTGTTATGTTCGGTCACGGTTGTCATGTTCGGTCACGAAGTTACATTATGTTAGGTCACGGCTGTCATGTTCGGTCACGGTTAAGCTGTCATGTTCGGTCACGCTGTTTATTAAATGTTCGGTCACAGTTGTCATGTTCGGTCACGGATGTCATGCGATGAAGTCACGGTTAATCATGTTCGGTCACGGTTGTCATGTTCGAGGTCACGGTTGTTTATGTTCAGGTCCACAGTTGTCATGTTCAGTTCACGGTTGTCATGTTCAGTCACGATTGTTGTCATGTTCAGTCACGGTTGTCATGTTCGGTCACGGTTGTCATGTTCGGTCACGGGTTGTCATGTTCGGTCACGGTTGTTAATGTTCGGTCACGGTTGTCATGTTCGGTCACGGTTGTCATGTTCGGTCACGGATTGTCATGTTCGGTCACGGTTGTCATGTTCGGTCACAGTTTTAATGTTGTCGCGTTCGGTCACGGTTGTCATGTTCGGTCACGGTTGTCATGTTCGGTCACGGTTGTCATGTTCGGTCACGGATTTTTCATGTTCGGTCACGGTTGTTATGTTCGGTCACGGTTGTCATGTTCGGTCACGGTTGTCATGTTCGGTCACGGTTGTCATGTTCGGTCACGGTTGTCATGTTCGGTCACGGTTGTCATGTTCGGTCACGGTTGTTATGTTCGGTCACGGTTGTCATGTTCAGTCACGGATTGTCATGTTCAGTCACGCGGTTGTCATGTTCGGTCACGGTTGTCATGTTCGGTCACGGTTGTCATGTTCGGTCACGGTTGTCATGTTCGGTCACGGTTGTCATGTTCGGTCACGGTTGTCATGCTCAGTCACGGTTGTCATGTTCGGTCACGGTTGTCATGTTCAGTCACGGTTGTTATGTTCAGTCACGGTTGTCATGTTCAGTCACGGTTGTCATGTTCGGTCACGGTTGTCATGTTCGGTCACGGTTGTATGTTCGGTTCATGTTCGGTCACGGTTGTCATGTTCGGTCACGGTTGTCATGTTCAGTCACGCGGTTGTCATGTTCGGTCACGGTTGTCATGTTCAGTCACGGTTATCATGTTCGGTCACGGTTGTCATGTTCAGTCACGGTTGTCATGTTCAGTCACGGTTGTCATGTTCAGTCACGGTTCGTCATGTTCAGTTCGGTCACGGTTGTCATGTTCAGTCACGGTTGTCATGTTCGGTCACGGTTGTCATGTTCGGTCACGGTTGTATCATGTTCTGGTCACGGTTATGTTCATGTTCGGTCACGGTTGTTATGTTCGGTCATGGTTGTCATGTTCGGTCACGGTTGTCATGTTCGGTCACGGTTGTCATGTTCAGTCACAGTTGTCAGCGTTCAGTCACATGTTGGGTCTGGTTGTCATGTTCAGTCACGGTTGTCATGTTCGGTCACGGTTGTCATGTTCGGTCACGGTTGTCATGTTCAGTCACGATTTGTCATGCTCGGTCACGGTTGTCATGTTCGGTCACGGTTGTCATGTTCGGTCAGTTGTCATGTTCGGTCACGGTTGTCATGTTCGGTCACAGTTGTCATGTTCGGTCATGGTTGTCATGTTCGGTCACGGTTAATCATGTTCGGTCACGGTTGTCGTGTTCTGGTCACGGTTGTCGGTCACGGTTGTCATGTTCGGTCACGGTTTTCATGTTCGGTCACGGGTTTCATGTTCAGTCACGGTTGTTTCCAAGCCTTGCTGGCGTTTTGTCCCTCTCTTCACGGTTGTTTCAACCCTTGCTGCCCGTTTCACGACGCATCCCTCTTCTCTCGGCAAGCGGTTGTATGGGAAGCCGATTCGTCCTGTTCAAGGAGTCACGACGCATCCAGGCGTGTGACGGCTTACAGGGCCGGCAAGATACGAATCTACGTTGCGTTCTCTGGCATTCCCTCTCTGCAGCTGATGCTGGCGTTCTTGCTGATGCAAGGAGTCGACGTATACCCCCAGCAAACAAACAAACACAAAATCTTCATCTTCAACGTACATGCTGCTTTTGTCTCTCATAATACAATGGCTGCTATTGCTTGGGAAGCCTTATTTTGATACCGTGGGCAACAAATGTGGTCCAAATCTTGCCGGCGTCCACATTTCATCTGTAGAAAGTTTTGACAGAACGCGCAATATGTGTCGAAACATCAAAACATAACGTGAGAAACGTGAGGAGAGCTCCATCAGAACGCGACTGATGGACTGATTTGGCTGCCGTGGCAGCCGGGGACATAGTGTAAGCCTAGCTATGGAGAGGAGAGTAACAAACAAAGCATTGCCCCTACCTAGCACACTGTGTGGACGAGTTTAACACCAGCTGTCTACGTCAATGGATGCAAACAGCCGTCATCAAAGGACAATTGGTCTTTGTGATGGAACCAGCACGACCATGGGTTAACCTGACTGTGACAAATACGACTCGAAATGACCTCAGTGTACAGACCGGGTACAGAGTCTCTCACCGTGTGGTCAGTGGCTAGCTGATTGATGAGAGCCTTCCAGTTGCTGTCTTCGTAGTTGACCCGGTACAGCCCGTACAGACCAATGTTGCCGATGACCCAGTCGGATGGACAGTGGTCGGAATGGGTAGTGTTGTACTGTACGTGTCTGAAGAAGTTGGATGTAAAGTGTGCACTGACGATGGAAAGAATAGCCGCCAGCGATTACGTATTATCTGTCCCCGTTAATACCGAGCGCATAAGTACCGAGGGTAGACCCTCGTGCCAGTATCGACACTACCCACACCATAATGTATGTACATCGTCTTAAAGATAGTTCGAGATAACACGAGTTCTCCTTACGTGTATCCAGTCACTGAAACATCGAGAAATTACCATTTAAATTTCGACTTCAAGTGATGAAGTTATACCATGTACCGACCTGGATATTGTCGATGTCAAAGAGCAATTTGATTACACGCAGTCCGAGTTACTGGTGATTTGCTTGAAACTTTCGGATTCACGTTAAAATACCTGTTTTGTCATCCCTCTTCATCCACACAATGTCCGCATCAGTCTTGTTGAAGTTTTCTCTGAACTCGTTGTGAAGGTGAAAGGGATATTCCATTTATATCTGAAAATATTTCAAGATTTTTAAATGAAAATACTTGATTAGCGTTAAGGTTAGATTAGGTATAAAGACGATGGTATGATACCAGAACCGTGTGATTACAACTTCCTTTGATTGTGAAGCTCCAGCGATGTTTCTGGTATTGCAGAAAGAGCGAGCCACAAACTTGATCCGGGGTTCGAAAAGGGACACTGTAAGGTGGCAGTGTTATATACTGTCATACAATGTCCCAGGTATAATAGGACAGTGTCACACAATGTCACACAATGTCCCAGGTATAATAGGACAGTGTCACACAATGTCACACAATGTCCCAGGTATAATAGGACAGTGTCACACAATGTCACACAATGTCCCAGGTATAATAGGACAGTGTCAGCACAATGTCACACAATGTCCAAGGTATAATAGGACAGTGTCACACAATGTTCACACAATGTCCAAGGTATAATAGGACAGTGTCACACAATGTCACACAATGTCCCAGGTATAATAGGACGGTGTCACACAATGTCACACAATGTTCCAAATGTAATGTGGAAGTTGTATTCTCTGTCATACAATGTCCGAAGTGTAAAAGGAGAGTATCACACAATGTCACACAATGCCACACAATGTTTCAAGTGTAATAGGACATTGGTATTCACTGTCATACAATGTCCGAAGTGTAATAGGACAGTGTCACACAATGTCACACAATGTTTTAAGTGTAATAGGACATTGGTATTCACTGTCATACAATGTCCGAAGTTTAATAGGACAGTGTCACACAATGTCACACACAATGTTCCAAGTGTAATAGGACATTGGTATTCACTGTCACACAATGTTCCAAATGTAATAGGACAGTCGTATTCATCTGTTACAGAGTAATTTCAAAGTGTAATAGGACAGTGGTATTCACTGTCATAAAATGATTCTGTCAAATGAAATGGGGTATGTTTCATTCACTGTCATGTAAGTTCCATGTGTAATGTAGCAGTGATAATCACTGTTATACTATGTTCTATGTGTAATGTAACAGTTATTCACTGTCGTACGATGTTCCAGCTTTACAACACTGTACCAGTTGACATACAGTCGTTGGAGTAGTAGTGTAATCTATATGTAGGCTTGTGCCTTGTTTTATACCATGTTCGAACCCACTGACTATTATAGAGAGATGTACACATAGACTACAAGCCGCTGACTCCCCCATGTACTGCCTTGAGTTGAGAACACGTTTTCCTGTGTGTATAATGGGAGTACAATCCAACAACAGCATTGAGTGTGAAGATCAGTAAACCATTGGCACTCTGCTCAAAGCCTTTGTTTCTAGATGGACTACTGTAGCTGAGAAGGGAATATTACCATCACCGTCAATATTGTCATTTTTCCCCGCCCTTGTATGTGCTTACCTTTGTGCTTGTACAGTCACTAGCTTTTGCGCTGCCACTATAATACATTGCAGTGAATTGTATATACTTCCCGGTTAACTTTTCATTTTTAAATTTGCAATCAACAATTACTGTTACAATGTTTGGAACCCATTCATCTTGTTTCATATTATCTGGAAAGGAATACATCCCTCACACTGATGACTCCTGAGAGAGGTGGGTTGCCATGAGGGTGAGGGGAATTGTAGGTAAAATTGGAAGGTTATACTGCCTTCATGACTTTAACCCATTCATCTTGTTTCATTTTATCTGGAAAGGAATACATCCCTCACACTGATGACTCCTGAGAGGGGTGGGTTGCCATGGGGGTGAGGGGAATTGTAGGTAAAATTGGAAGGTTATATTGCCTTCATGACTTTAACCCATTCATCTTGTTTCACATTATCAGGAAAGGAATACATCCCTCACACTGATGACTCCTGAGAGGGATGGGTTGCCATGGGGGTGAGGGGAATTGTAGGTAAAATTGGAAGGTTATATTGCCTTCATGACTTTAACCACCGGCTGGCGAATTCACCTGACCCGTACACATTAATGCATTTATGCACGTACTCGTTATAAGATTGAAGGTCCGGGGTCCGCTGGTAACGGGCAAAGCGGCGTAAAACAACCATCACTCACTTGGTGAACACATTTAATCATGAACTTACTCGTAGGGTGATGTGTATGTCCCGGGGTCCGCTGCTGACGGGTCCAAGAGGAACCTCTTCTGCTGCAGCTTCAGCTTGTTGCCCCCCGCCCTGGACACCGTGACAACTGGATAGTTCATCTGCAGCGTCCACGTCTTCATCGTGTCCACCACATCTACTGGTTTTTTATCTGCCTTTGCTTGCTGTATTAGGGGTGAAAGCACGGCTCATGTTATTTACAGAACCGGTGGATTGGGTGCCTGGAGGGGCGTTGTCCTTAATATCAGTTCCTGGTCTGTCCCAAACTCGACTATTTACTGGCCGCAGTACTTCCAGCATGCAACACGGGTATATAAAGGACCAACATTTCTATGAGCCGTCTGTCTACATAGCGGGCTCACTGGTATATAAAGGACCAACATTACTATGAGCCGTCTATCTACATAGCGGGCACACTGGTATATAAAGGACCACCATTTCTATGAGCCGTCTGTCTACATAGCGGGCTCACTGGTATATAAAGGACCACCATTTCTATGAACCGTCTGTCTACATAGCGGGCTCACTGGTATACAAAGGACCAACATTTCTATGAGCCGTCTGTCTACATAGCGGGCACACTGGTATATAAAGGACCAATATTTCTATGAGCCGTCTGTCTACATAGCGGGCACACTGGTATATAAAGGACCAACATTTCTATGAGCCGTCTGTCTACATAGCGGGCTCACTGGTATATAAAGGACCAACATTTCTATTAGCCGTCTGTCTACATAGCGGGCACACTGGTTTATAAAGTACCAACATTTCTATTAGCCGTCTGTCTACATAGCGGGCACACTGGTATATAAAGGACCAGCATTTCCATTAGTCGTCTGTCTACATAGCGGGGTACTGGTATATAAAGGAACAACATTTCTATGAGCCGTCTGTTTACATAGCGGGCTCACTAAAGGTATATAAAGGACCAACATTTCTATGAGCCGTCTGTCTACATAGCGGGCTCACTGGTATATAAAGGACCAACATTTCTATGAGCCGTCTGTCTGCATAGCGGGCTCACTGGTATATAAAGGACCAACATTTCTATGAGCCGTCTGTCTACATAGCGGGCACACTGGTATATAAAGGACCAACATTTCTATGAGCCGTCTGTCTACATAGCGGGATCACTGGTATATAAAGGACCAACATTTATATTAGCCGTCTGTCTACATAGCGGGCACACTGGTATATAAAGGACCAACATTTCTATGAGCCGTCTGTCTACATAGCGGGCACACTGGTATATAAAGGACCAGCATTTCTATAGGAGCCGTCTGTCTACATAGCGGGCTCACTGGTATATAAAGGACCAACATTTCTATTAGCCGTCTGTCTACATAGCGGGCACACTGGTATATAAAGGACCAACATTTCTATTAGCCGTCTGTCTACATAGCGGGCACACTGGTATATAAAGGACCAGCATTTCTATTAGCCGTCTGTCTACATAGCGGGCTAATACACTGGTTTATAAAGGACCAACATTTCTATTAGCCGTCTGTCTACATAGCGGGCTCACTGGTATATAAAGGACCAACATTTCTATGAGCCGTCTGTCTACATAGCGGGCTCACTGGTATATAAAGGACCAACATTTCTATGAGCCGTCTGTCTACATAGCGGGCTCACTGGTATATAAAGGACCAACATTTCTATGAGCCGTCTGTCTACATAGCGGGCTCACTGGTATATAAAGGACCAACATTTCTATGAGCCGTCTGTCTACATAGCGGGCTCACTGGTATATAAAGGACCAACATTTCTATGAGCCGTCTGTCTACATAGCGGGCTCACTGGTATATAAAGGACCAGCATTTCTATGAGCCGTCTGTCTACATAGCGGGCTCACTGGTATATAAAGGACCAACATTTCTATGAGCCGTCTGTCTACATAGCGGGCACACTGGTATATAAAGGACCAACATTTCTATGAGCCGTCTGTCTACATAGCGGGCTCACTGGTATATAAAGGACCAACATTTCTATGGAGCCGTCTGTCTACATAGCGGGCGCGGGCTCACTGGTATATAAAGGACCAACATTTCTATGAGCCGTCTGTCTACATAGCGGGCTCACTGGTATATAAAGGACCAACATTTCTATGAGCCGTCTGTCTACATAGCGGGTCACTGGTATATAGGGACCACTATGATTTCTATGGTATAGCCAGCATTTCTGTCTGTCTACATGGCGGGCTCACTGGTATATAAAGGACCACATTTCTATGAGCGGGCTCACTGGTATATAAAGGACCAGCATTTCTATGAGCCGTCTGTCTACATAGCGGGCTCACTGGTATATAAAGGACCAACATTTCTAGGAGGCCGTCTGTCTACATAGCGGGCACACTGGTATATAAAGGACCAACATTTCTATTAGCCGTCTGTCTGCATAGCGGGCTCACTGGTATATAAAGGACCATCATTTCTATGAGCCGTCTGTCACATATCGAACTTCACTGGTATATAAAGGACCAGCACATAGCGGTCTACTCACTGGTATATAAAGGACCAACATTACTATGATGTAGGTAATGTAGATTATTGTACTCAATCATTTACTCACTCAATAGCTCATTCATTCAATGCGTCACAAACACACTCACACACGCACCAACACACACTTACTCAACAACTCACTCACTCACAGAACTCACACAGTCACCAGCTGTTTCCCACAAGACATGTCAAGAGCACTCACGGAGTCGAGGGCTGCCCACAGGTCGTCATGGTCTGCATTTGAGTACTTCCGGTTCTCCAAGTATCTCTGTTAACAACAATAGTATCTGCCTGTATATATATCTCAACAACATTAGTGTCCACATACATATATATAAGTAAATATATATCAACAACAGTCGTGTTCACGTATATGTATCTCTGTTGACAAGACTATCCACCTGTATGTATATCAGTTATCAATAACAGTGTCTGCCCGTCTGCTGGTATGCATCTTTGTTACTGGCATACTGACATCTGTTGTACCCATACTCCATAGATGGTACTGGTATATTCACATCTCAGGCACCCATACCACACGCTACCTAGATGTTACTGGTATACTGACATCTGTGGCACCCACACCACATACAGCCTAGATGTTACTGGTAAACTGACATCTGTGGCACCCACACACACACTACTTAGATGTTACTGGTATGCTGACATCTGTGGCACCACTACCACACACACTACCTAGATGTTACTGGCATACAGACATCTGTGGCACCCATACCACACGCTGCCTAGATGTTACTGGTATACAGACATCTGTGGCACCCATACCACATACTGCCTAGATGTTACTGGTATACAGACATCTGTGGCACCCATACCACACACTACCTAGATGTTACTGGTATACTGACATCTGTGGCACCCATACCACATACTACCTAGATGTTACTGGTATACAGACATCTGTGGCACCCATACCACACACTACCTAGATGTTACTGGTATACTGACATCTGTGGCACCCATACCACATACTACCTAGATGTTACTGGTATACTGACATCTGTGGCACCCATACCACACACTGCCTAGATGTTACTGGTATACAGACATCTGTGGCACCCACACCACACACACTGCCTAGATGTTGCTGGTATACAGACATCTGTGGCACCCATACCACATGCTGCCCAGATGTTACTGGTATACAGACATCTGTGTGGCACCCATACCACACACTACCTAGATGTTACTGGTATGCTGACATCTGTGGCACTCATACCACAAGCTGCATAGATGACTGGTATATGACATCTGTGTCAACCATACGCACATACTACCTAGATCTTGCGGACAATACAGACATATGTGGCACATACCACACTACGTAGATGTTACTGGTATACAGATATCTGTGGCATCCCCATCTACACACTACCTAGATGTTACTGGTATACAGACATATGTGGCACCCATGCCATACTGGCTAGATGTTACTGGTATACAGACATCTGTGGCACCCATACCACACACTACCTAGATGGTTACTGGTATACAGACATCTGTGGCACCCATACCACACACTACCTAGATGTTACTGGTATACAGACATCTGTGGCACCCATACCACACACTACCTAGATGTTACTGGTATACATGACATCTGTGGCACCCATACCACACACTCGCCTAGATGTTATTGGTATACAGACATCTGTGGCACCCATACCACACACACTGCCTAGATGTTACTGGGTATACTAGACATTTGTAGCAACCATACCACACACTGCTTAGATGTTACTGGTCATCAAGACATCTGTGGCACTGCCTGTGATGTTACCAATACCATACACTACCTAGATGTTACTGGTATACAGGACATCTGTGGCACCCATACCACACACTACCTAGATGTTACTGGTATACAGACATCTGTGGCAACCCATACCACAATGCCACTACCTAGATGTTACTGGTATACTGACATCTGTGGCACCCATACCACACACACTACCTAGATGTTACTGGTATACAGACATCTGTGGCACCCATACCCACACACTACCTAGATGTTACTGGTATACTGACATCTGTGGCACCCATACCACATACTACCTGCCTGGATGTTACTGGTATACAGACATCCGTGGCAACCCAAACATACCTAGATGTTACTGGTATACTGGCTTCTGTGGCACTCACACCACACTACCTAGATGTTACTGGTATACTGACATCTGTGGCACCCATACCACACACTACCTAGATGTTACTGGTATAGCAGACATCTGTGGCACCCATACCACACACTGCCTAGATGTTACTGGTATACTGACATCTGTGGCACCCATACCACACACTACCTAGATGTTACTGGTATACAGACATCTGTGGCACCCATACCACACACTACCTAGATGTTACTGGTATACTGACATCTGTGGCACCCATACCACACACTACCAGATGTTACTGGTATACTGACATCTGTGGCACTCCATACCACTACACTACACCTAGATGTTACTGGTATACAGACATCTGTGGCACATCCACCACACACTACCTAGATGTTACTGGTATACTGACATCTGTGGCACCCATACCACACACTACTACCTAGATGTTACTGGTATACTGACATCTGTGGCACCCATACCACACACTACCTAGATGTTACTGGTATACTGACATCTGTGGCACCCATACCACACACTGCCTAGATGTTACTGGTATACTGACATCTGTGGCACCCATACCACACACTACCTAGATGTTACTGGTATACTGACATCTGTGGCACTCTTATACTTACACACACCTACCTAGATGTTACTGGTATACAGACATCTGTGGCACCCATACCACACACACTACCTAGATGTTACTGGTATACAGACATCTGTCGCACCCATACCACACACTACCTAGATGTTACTGGTATACAGACATCTGTCGTACCCATACCACACACTACCTAGATGTTACTGGTATACAGACATCTGTCGCACCCATACCACCACACACTACCTAGATGTTACTGGTATACAGACATCTGTGGCACCCATACCACACACCACCTAGATGTTACTGGTATACAGACATCTGTGGCACCCATACCACACACTACCTAGATGTTACTGGTATACAGACATCTGTGGCACCCATACCACACCACACTAGATACCTAGATGTTACTGGCATACAGACATCTGTGGCACCCATACCACCACTACACTTGCCTAGATGTTACTGGTATACAGACATCTGTGGCACCCATACCACACACTGCCTAGATGTTACTGGTATACAGACATCTGTGGCACCCATACCACACACCACCTAGATGTTACTGGTATACTATGACATCTGTGGCACCCATACCACACACTACCTAGATGTTACTGGTATACAGACATCTGTGGCACCCATACCAACACACTACCTAGATGTTACTGGTATACAGACATCTGTGGCACCCATACCACACACTACCTAGATGTTACTGGTATACTGACATCTGTGGCACCCATACCACACACTACCTAGATGTTACTGGTATACAGACATCTGTGGCACCCATACACACACACTACCTAGATGTTACTGGTATACAGACATCTGTGGCAACCCATACCACACACTACCTAGATGTTACTGGTATACTGACATCTGTGGCACCCACATACCACACACTACCTAGATGTTACTGGTATACAGACATCTGTGGCACCCATACCACACACTACCTAGATGTTACTGGTATACAGACATCTGTGGCATACCATACCACACACTACCTAGATGTTACTGGTATACAGACATCTGTGGCACCCATACCACACACTACCTAGATGTTACTGGTATACAGACATCTGTGGCACCTATACACCACACACTACCTAGATGTTACTGGTATACAGACATATGTGGCACCCATACCACACACTACCTAGATGTTACTGGTATACAGACATCTGTGGCACCCATACCACACACTACCTAGGATGTTACTGGTATACTGACATCTGTGGCACCCATACCACACACCTACCTAGATGTTACTGGTATACTGACATCTGTGGCACCCATACCAACACACTACCTAGATGTTACTGGTATACAGACATATGTGGCACCCATACCTATAATTACACATGTTACACCATTGGCACCTTCACCTAGATGTTACTGGTATACTGACATCTGTGGCACCCATACCACATACTACCTAGATGTTACTGGTATACTGACATCTGTGGCACCCATACCACACACTACCTAGATGTTACTGGTATACAGACATCTGTGGCACCCATACCACACACTACCTAGATGTTACTGGTATACAGACATCTGTGGCACCCATACCACACACTACCCAGATGTTACTGGTATACAGACATCTGTGGCACCCATACCACACCACTACACCTAGATGTTACTGGTATACAGACATCTGTGGCACCCATACCACACACCACCTAGATGTTACTGGTATACGGACATCTGTGGCACCCATACCACACACCACCTAGATGTTACTGGTATACTGACATCTGTGGCACCCATACCACACACTACCTAGATGTTACTGGTATACAGACATCTGTGGCACCCATACCACACACCTACCTAGATGTTACTGGTATACAGACATCTGTGGCACCCATACCACACACTACCTAGATGTTACTGGTATACAGACATCTGTGGCACCCATACCACACACTACCTAGATGTTACTGGTATACAGACATCTGTGGCACCCATACCACACATGGTACTACCTAGATGTTACTGGTATACAGACATCTGTGGCACCCATACCACACACTACCTAGATGTTACTGGTATACAGACATCTGTGGCAACCCATACCACACACCACTACCTAGATGTTACTGGTATACAGACATCTGTGGCACCCATACCACACACTACCCTAGATGTTACTGGTATACAGACATCTGTGGCACCCATACCACACACTACCTAGATGTTACTGGTATACAGACATCTGTGGCACCCATACCACACTACCTAGATGTTACTGGTATACAGACATCTGTGGGCACCCATACCACACACACTACCTAGATGTTACTGGTATACAGACATATGTGGCACCCATACCACACACTACCTAGATGTTACTGGTATACAGACATCTGTGGCACCCATACCACACACTACCTAGATGTTACTGGTATACAGACATCTGTGGCACCCATACCACACACCACCTAGATGTTACTGGTATACTGACATCTGTGGCACCCATACCACACACTACCTAGATGTT